GATAGCATGGTAGGTGCCTTCGAAGTCAGCGACCACGAAGTTGACGTAGTCGGTGCGGAAGTGATCTGGAGTACCAAATTGCACAGGTAGCGTGATCTGCCCGAGAGGTGTGGAGCTCTGTCCGGGGAGAACACCCCAGAATTATGCCTCGTATGGCTTGAGATCAGCCTGGGTTATCTTCAGGGCCGGCAAACTATTCTTGAACAGAATATCGATGGAACTGCCGCCATCAATCAGCACTCTATCGAACTAAACCTTGTTGATACAAGGATCGAGAACCAGAGGAAAACGCCCTGGCTCAGGTATTGCAGCCCATTGGTCCTTTCTACTGAAGGAGATCTCGCGGTGAGACCAAGGAGGGAGCCATGGATCGGCGATGAGGTTGTCGTCATTGGCCACGTTCAGACAGGCACGAGCGAGCAGCTTGCGCTCTCGTTTGGTCTCGATGGACACTCTACCCCCAATGATGGTATGGACGCGGTCGGTTGGCTTGACGTACTTGTGAAGGGGATCTGCATCTTCATCATCGTTGTCCTTGTCAAGCTGCACCCCTGCGTTGTTAGGCTTGTCAGATTTATCCGGAGCCTGTTGGCACATATAGATGGATTTGAGAACGCGGCAATCCTCCATGGTATGGTTTGACTTGGGATGGAGCTGGCAGGGTCCTTTCAATGCTTTGGTGTAGTCTTCTTCGTAATTGTGACGTCCGCCACCTTTTTTAACGATGTTGACTTCGTCGTCGTCTTCCCGAGCACGCTTGCCCCTGTAATCGTCACGGCGATTACGCCGCTGATTACGCTGGTCGCGGTGGTCGCGGGAATCGTTGCGCTGGTTGCGGCGATCAAAATTGTCGTTTCGACCACGGTTGCCACGGTAGTCGTCGCGGTGTGGAGGGTGGTCGGAGCGTGGAACCCTTGCTGCTTCTTCGATGATTATCTTTTTAGCATCATCGACATCTGCATATTTTTTAGCAGTGGCTAGGAGCGCTGTGACCGATTCAGGTCTCTTGCGGAGGAGCTTGTCCCTTAGGGCATCGTGGAAGCAGAGACCAGTGATGAAAGCCTCGATTGCCTCGTTGTCGGAGATTGATGGGACCTTGATGCGCATCTCCGAGAAGCATTGGACGTACTTGCATAGTGGCTCATCTTTGCGATCTTGAATCCGCTGCTGATCATATTTGTTGCCGGGTTGCTCGCAAGTAGCAATAAAGTTGTCAATGAATGCTTGCTTGAGCTCTTGCCAAGAATCAAAGTAGTTCGCCGGCAAGCTTACCAGCCATTGGTGGCCTGCATGGCCGACGGCGACTAGGAAGTAATTAGACATGACGTGCTCGTCAGCCATGGCTGATCTGCACGTGGTTTCGTAGAGCATGACCCATAATTCGGGGTTCTCCTTGCCGTCGTACTTCTAAAGAAGTTCTTGGGCCATATGACTTGGCGAAGGTGTGGAGTAAACTGCTTCAAACCCGGAGGGACGTGGGTAGTATCATATTCCATACGGTGATAGCTTTCGTGGGATTCACGATCGTTGGCTCTTTGGTTAATGTGATCGCGTAGATCGCATTCTCCGAGGGAATGGCGGAGATCGTTATTGCCATCACGGCGACCCCGATTGCCACCCTGGTTAACCCTGCGACCGTGGTTATCACGATGATTGTCGCGGTTGTCTCGGCGGTTGTCATCCCGGTAGTTGCGGCGGTTGTCGTCCCGACCATCGTCATGACCACCGTTTCTGCCTTGACAATTGTCTGATGGGTCGTTGTTGCATGAGCCACGTTGGTTGGGTGGCTGTGAGCGACTTGAGTACTGGCGGCTGTGGCTTGATTTGGCTGAGACGGATGGAGCCCGGGCTTGATTCACAATCTCTGCGGTCTGGGCCATAGCAGCCATTAGGTAAGCTTGTATATCATCTCGAACTGCCTGGATTTCCAGGGTATTGGGTAGTCGTTGCATTGTCACCATAGCAACAGCTACGTTGGCGCTTGGAGTCCTGAAGACCTGCTTGTCCCCCACCCTATCAAAGGCATTGTTAAGGTCGCGTGGCTGGACCCGTATGCGTTGTGCCTCGGCTTTGACTTGTCGGTGATTAAACCGATCAATATTGCGTGCTTCGCGTGCCAGCCTTTCTTGTTCTATTTCACCAACTGCCAGTGGTTCGTCATTACTGACAACATTGATCAAGTCTCCTCATCTTGGTGGGAAGGTTGGGAATCGTGGGAACCCCAGGGCATGGTCTGGGATATCCAGATCGTATTCAACGCCTTCATTGTCATGATACTGGAGCTCGGTGTGGACGAAGGCATTAGATGCGATGCCGGACAGGGAGCTTGAGCCACCCTCTTGAACTGTGTGGACCGATCCTTCTTGATACTCCTCAATCCGGACCATGTTGACGAAGTTACGCAGGCCGTAGGGCTGAGCCTGGTAGTTCTCCATCGAGGATTCGTACTCGGAGAGCCAGAGACCCGTCGTGGGGGCTGGCCGGCGACGAACGGAGCGCCCTTCAAGAGTAGATGTGACCACGAGATCCGTACCGAGTCGTGCAGGACGACTGGCCCGAGCTGGTTGGGTAGATCTGTTGTGGGTAGTGGTTACCTTCTCATTAGGTTGACTTTGAATCAAACTTACCAGAGCTAGAGTTTCGGCAAGTTTGGTGCCGACCCGATCGATGGAGTCGAGCAGGTCGGTGTTGTCGATCTGCCTCCCTTTGTAGCGAGGAAGCGGACGACGGGTTATCGGCGTGGCTGAAGATGATGCTGGCGTGGCCGGAGCCAGATCCACCGTGGTTGGAGCCATAGCCGATGCAGATGAAACAGTGGTCGACGCAGATTGAATCCACGCCTCCTCCGTGGTCCTGGCGATGAAGTCGTCGGAGCCGGTGGTCCAGGTGATCTGGCCGATGGTGAACGTGAGGCCGTTCGGCGTAGCCATGGAACCGGGGATCATGACCATCTTGTTCTTCTGGGAAGCAGTACGCACACCCCCTACCTGGCGCGCCACTATCGACGAAATATGGTCGACAGTCTACCTAGGGGTATGCCCAAGGTAGTAGATTATCGGTAGACAGATGCGCAAGCTACAAACAAGATGGTGACGCAAGACAGACACGAGGATTTATCTAGGTTCGGCCGCCGTGATAGCGTAATACCTACGTCCTGCGTCTGATTGTATTGTTGTATGTCAATGAGAGATGTTTTTTAGAGGGGTCCCCTGCCCGCCTTATATAGTCTGGGGCAGGATTACAGATCTGGAAACTAATCCTAACCAGTTACAATTGTCATAGATAGCCGGATAAGGATTTCTATTCTAACCGACCAGAATCTTGCTTGATCTCCAAATCTGCCTTGATTCCTTGTGCGGGACTCCGAATAGATTGGCCGGGCCGCACGTAGTCTTCTAGTGGGCCAAACCCCCTGGTCCGGGCTGGCCCAAGCCTAGCCGTAAGGGTATAGGGGTTAATACCCCACAACGAGGAGGAGGAGGACGATGCGGAGAGGAGAGGGAAGGCGATGCCGAGAGAAGCGTCAACGGTGACGGTGGAAGCCATAGCCATGGCGATGGTGCGCGTGGTGCTACAGTACGACATCTGCTTTACGTCGGCAGTGAGTGGCAAGAGCAGCGGTACGAGCAGCGGGGCGGGCATGTAGAGCAGCGGGAGGAGCGGTGGGGCGAGGGCGCGGAGTAGCGGAGCAGGAGGTGGAGTGGGAGATGGACAGGTGATGAATTAACGGGATATTAAACAAAGGTTATCTTAGTTAGGCTAGAGCATATGAGAATTAAAATTGACATGACCCCACACCCCGCTTCCGTCCGATATTCAGTAAAGAGTCAGATGCTCGGATTAAAGCATTACCATTAGGTTAACGAAAATGCTCTTTATAGGGCGTTCGTTCGTCTAGATGGACCCCGCACTCGCCCACGCCACCCCCCCCCGCATCGGCCGCTTGATCTGCTCACGGGACAGACCACGTCCTCGCTCGTGCCCCCGCCGCCTGCCCGAGCCACACACGGCGAGCCCGACGCGCTAGGCGCTCACTAGCTCGCTCCCGGACTTTCACCTCTCATCGTGGATGTGCTCCATCTGCTTGTCCCTGCCCCTGCTGAGGTCCGTGCTGCCAACGAGCTTCATACCGCCGACCTCCGCGCCACTCTGCGGCTTCAAGCTCCGTGCTAGCGTCGAGCTCCGCATCGACAAGCCTCCATTCGTCCCAGCATCAAGCAGATGCTACGCTGAAAGCATATATTGCAATAGATGCTACGCTGAAAGTATATGTTACAATAGTATGTTGCAAGTGTTTCAGATATTTTCGAGGTATGTTGCAAGTGTTGTATATCGATGTTGTAAAAGTAAATTGGGATGTTGCACATGTTATAATGGCTATACACGTATGTTTTAAGTGTATGTTCCAAATGTTTCATCTGTTCCAAACGAACGTTGCATGTTTTTTTCTGGATGTTGCAAAAGTAGATCTAGATGTTGCATATATATGCATGTTGCAAGCATATGTTTCAAGTGTTTTCAGGTGTTTCATACGTATGTTTGCAAGTGTTTCATCTGGATGTTGCATATATTTGCACTGGATTTCAAATGCTTTTTATGGTTTTTCGCAAGTGTTTCAGACGTTTTTTTAAGTGTTTCATTTGTCTTCTTTTATATGTTATAACTATTTTATCTGGATGTTTAAAAGTAGATTGAATGATGTATATGAGATGCGCTAGTAAAGCGGCCAGTGGTACTAACGACGTCCGAGAGCGCTAGACGCTTGGTGCGGTGGTGCGGGGAGCGTCCGAACGCTGACACCCGAATCGGACGCAGGCAAGTCCGTTAGGTTAATGCACGAGGTGGCTATGGGTTGTCCACGGTTTGGCTCAGGATTGGTACTATAGAGATAATCAGGAGCCAGCCGGACTTTCCAGAAGCAAACCACGAGAGCAAAAAGAGCCCAGAAGGGCAAAAACCGCAGCAAGGATGAAAACAGAAAACCGATAGCGCCGGAGAACATGGTGCGTGGACTACCCGCCGCCGGGGCAGCCCGAGGACCCTACCTCACCGCCGTCGGTCGCGGGCTCCTTCTCACGGCCCTCGTCGCGGCCGCTGCCTCGTTCCTCCCAGTAGCCGAGTCGTCCTGCCCGCGAGGTGCACCTTCCCCCTTTGTCCCCTTCTCCATTTCCCCCTCCCGGATTTCTTGAAACTTCCAAAATTGCCGCTTGACCTTACCTCCCAAGTCCCAATATAACAATTTTTTTTGTTTGTGTGAATTAGCAGTATCTCAAAATACAATAATTTGATTTGAGACAGTTCCTTGCGAATTCGAGACAGAACTGAGCATCTTTCTTTAGATACAGTTGTAGCAAATCTTTAGTAGTGTACTGATGATATTCTGATGTATCCAGACAAATCACTGGTGAGAGACATAAGCCGAATGCAGCAGAGCAACTTTGGGAGGGAAGGATTCTCGCATATAACTGTCACCGGTGCGCTTGCTCACGGGATGAAGGAGGTGAGGAATAAACCCTACGGCCATAGTGTGTTTTCCCAAACAATATTGGCATGAACAAGTATTCGAGTAGTGCAAAGATTAATTGAATGCACTCATGTACCTGGATGCATGATAGTTCCTTGCTTCTATGTGAACTCCGGAATTAGACTGTAATTTCAGTTCGTGCTGCTATGAGTTCAAAGGACTTAGTCATGTGTAGATATGCTTGATGGCTGAGCCGCGGAGGGCTCATATTCGAATATAATCTTTGAACAGCGTGGATGCTGATATGATTCCTTCTTGCTTCTTCATGAAATGTTTTTCTTCAGGTGGAAGTGTGGCTTCAGACATTTGGTCCAGGTCAAAGGACCCCAATCCACAGGCATTCTTGTGAAGAGGTTTTCATTGTCCTCAAAGGGAAAGGCACGCTCTTACTGGGGTCGAGCTCGCTTAAGTACCCAGGGCAGCCGCAGGAAATTCCTGTCTTTCAGAATACCACATTTTCGATCCCTGTAAATGATCCACATCAGGTAAAAGAGAAGGGTTGCCATTTATATGCATTTTTACATTGATACCTCGTGTCCTGACTCCTGATTTGCACAACTCTGCTGATTATATGGTACTGTACCTTGGCTAGTTTCAAGATATTGTCAGAGCTTATTTCTGGTGGGTTGTCCCATTTAGTGACCTTTAGTAGCGGCCAGTACTCTAGTCAAATCGACTTTATCCTTACAAGAAGGAGGGATAAACGAACATGCGTGGACTGTAAGGTGATACCTGGAGAATGTGTGGTCGCTCAACACAAGCTGGTGGTGGCTGACTTCCGCTTTCTGGTGCAAGCTCGTGGGAACAAACAAGCTAGGGTTGCTAGAACGCAGTGGTGAAAATTAGAAGGGGAGGCATCAAAGGTCTTTAAGAAAAATGTCATTGAAGAGGGCCCTTGGAATCATGAAGGCGATGCAAATAGCATGTGGGTGAAGATGGCAACATGCGTTCGGAAGGTTCCTTCAGAGGTGCTTGGAGTGACCAAAGGGAGCGGATGCGACTCAAGAGACACTTGGTGGTAGAATGAAGATGTGCAAAAGGCTATTAAGGAAAAGGAGTACTATAAGCGCTTGTATCATGATAGGTGTGCAAACAATATAGAGAAGTACAAGGTGGCAAAGAAGACTGCAAAACGAGCGGTGAGGCAAAGGGGCAGGTCTATGAGGACCTTTACCGACGTTTGAGTACGGAGAAAGAAGAGAAGGACATTTATAGGATGGCTAGGGCTCGCGATAGGAAGACAAGGGACTTTAACCAAGTCAAATGCATAAAGGATGACAGGGAGCAGCTCTTGGTGAAGGTGGATGAGATCAGACATCGATGGCAAGAGTATTTTGATAAATTGTTCAATGGTGAGAACGAGAACACCACCGTTCAGCTGAACGACTTGTTTGATGACACTAACAGGCGCTTTTTGCGGAGGATTCAAGAATCGAAGGTCAGAGAAGCCTTGAAAAGGATAAAAGGGGGCAAAGCGATGTGCTCTGATGGTATCTCAATCAAGGTGTGGAGATGCCTCGGGGATATAGCTATAGTATGGCTAACCAAGATGTTCAACAATATCTTTGCCTGAGGAGTGGAGAAGAAGTATATTGGTACCAATCTACAAGAACAAGGGAGATATCCAAAGTTGTATTAATTATCGGGGAATTAAGTTGATGAGCCACACTATGAAGTTATGGGTGAGAGTCATCGAGCAGCGCCTGCGAGGAACGATGCAGATATCAACAAACCAATTTGGTTTCATGCCCGGAAGGTCAACCACAGAAGCAATATTCTTAATAAGACAGGTTATGGAGCGGTTTAGAGAGCAGAAGAAGAACCTCCACTTGGTTTTTATTGACTTGGAGAAGGCTTATGACAAAATACCAAGAAATATTATATGGTGGTCTTTGGACAAACATAAAGTCCCATCAAAGTACGTGACCCTCATCAAGGACATGTACAACAATGTTGTGACTAGTGTTCGAACAAACGATGGTAACACAGATTACTTCCCGATTAAAATTGGACTTCATCAAGGGTCAGCCTTAAGCCCGTATCTCTTTACCTTGGTAATAGATGAGGTTATCAGGAACATACAAAGGGATATCCCTTGGTGTATGTTGTTCGCTGATGATGTAGTATTAGTGGACGAAAGTCAGGCGGGAGTAAATAGGAAATTAGAGTTATGGCGGCAGACCCTTGAGTCTAAATGTTTTAGATTGAGCAGAACTAAAACCGAATACATGATATGTGACTTTGGCGGAGTTGTACAGGAGGAGGGAGATGTGAGTTTGGAAGGTCAAGTAGTGCCTAAGAAGGATATCTTTCGGTATCTGAGATCGATGCTACAGAGAGATGGAGATATTGATGCGGACGTTAACCATAGAATCAAAGCAAGGTGGATCAAGTGGCGACAAGCTTCTGGCATTCTCTGTGACAAGAGGGTATCACAAAAGCTAAAAGGCAAGTTCTATAAAACGACGATTAGAACGATTATGTTGTATGGAGCAGAATGTTGGTCTACAAAGATTCGACATATTCAACAACTGAGTGTTGCAGAAATGCGTATGTTGCGATGGATTTGCGGTCCGAAATGCGTATGTTGCGATGGATTTGCGGTCACATAAGAATGGACTGAGTTTGGAACGATGATATACGTGATCGTCTAGAGGTAGCACCAATTGAAGAAAAGCTTGTTCAACATCGGTTGAGGTGGTTTGGCCATGTCCAAAGGAGACCTCCAGAGGCACCAGTGCATTGTGGAGTTCTAAGCCAAGCTAATAATATGAGGAGAGGTAGAGGAAGACCGAAATTGACATGGGGGAGACAATAAAAAGATATTTGAAAGCTTAGGATATACCTAGAAATCTATGTTTGAATAGGAGTACTTGGAAAACAGCTATTGAAGTGCCTGAACCGTGACTTGGGGCTCTTGGTGGGTTTCAACTCTAGCCTACCCTAATTTATTTGGGACTGAAAGGCTATGTTGTTGTTGTTGTTGTTATTTCTGGTGGGTAGGTTCTATTTGTTAGTGTCTACATCATCTTTCTCTTTCTTGCAGGTCTGGAATTCTGATGAGCATGAAGATTTGCAAGTTCTTGTGATCATATCGCGCCCACCCGTCAAGATGTGAGCATATCTTACTTTAACATTGTGTTTCATTCAACTACATATGCTTACTGATTCATGCATAAAGACTACTTCAGAGTTCAGAGTATCCTGTGTCAAGTGTGATGCATATGTGTGCTTTGAACCTTGTAGAGAGTATTCCTTATGTTTCCATATTGTTGAAGCCTATACCATGTTACCATATAGTTAGGAGTTTGTCTCAGAACATTTTGGCCATGCCTAATAACAGTTATGTGTTAAAACTTGATTGAATATACTGCAAAATTGCAAATATATTTTATCCTTGTCTCTGAGAACCATCATTCCTATTGCCCTACAGTTCTAAATTCTCATAACTATGGAGCTACCAAGACTTCATGAGTTTTTATTTCATTTAAACTATAAGTCATCCTTGTCAAGATAGATGCTAAAGTTGTAAGGACATATGATGATGAGGGATTAAAAAGCTGGAACAAGGGTCTATCCTGGATAGCATAAAAAGCCTTACTTCTTTTCAAAAACTTCAAAAGATGCATGCAAATGTAAAATGTTGATCTTATCTAAAAAAATTCATGCACATATAGGAATATTGATGTGATGAACATTGAACTCTATCGCAAGATTGCTAGATGTGCTAAATACCTGATGAATTATTAAAAAATTGGCATTTTCAACATCTGATACTATCTATATCACTTTGATTTATCGATTTAACCTTCGTTAGTAATTTCCCACCAACGTTTCTAAATAAAATATGGTAGCATTATTCACATGTGTCATGATCCCTTTCACTTTGTTACCGTTGACATCGCCGTTGTCTTTATCAGTACCATATTTCGTGTTATATGGGTATCTGTAGCAATTTTGATTGTACAGCGAATAATTAATTGCAAGTGAATAACAAACATATGAGTGATGGATAGCTTTCTGAGATTCAGTGACATCTCCTGTTACAGATTTATATATGATGATTGGAGTATGCCTCATACAGCTGCGAAGCTGAAATTCCCTTACTTCTGGGATGAGGAATGCTTGCCAGCACCAAAAGATGAACTCTAGGTTAAGTGGTTCCTGCAATTTATCAGCTTCATCCACGATCCTGGTGGACTACGATTCACATCTACAAGTCGTAATCCATTAGTGTACTTTCATGTGTAGTTTTGTGTTGTGACTCAGGGAAATACATTTTGACAACGTTTATAAAATTAAGCACTTATGGAGTTGAGCCACCGAGGTTTATATTCTATATTTTTGAAGCAGTATTGATTTAAACTTCTGGAGTTCTTTGCATAATTCTTCATCCAACTAATTTAGTGTTGTTTGTTTCATAAAAAAAATTCTGCTATTTATCGTGATACCCCGTATCCCAGGCTCGCAATTAATAAAGTTGACTTCAATGTTCAATGAACTTATTCAACTTATTAAAGTGTGAATACAACGGTTGGAAGCAAACTGTCACTTCATATGAATTTTGAGTAATCATTCATTCTATGCATACTTCTATATAGTATCAAGCAAAACCTTTAATCAACATATATAGTAGGTCAATGTCTAATAGCTAAGTGTTGAAGTTCGTAAGTAATTCTCAATTTAAGTCATTGAGTGTTGTCACCAGCTGAATTTGATGTGAAAGGAAATTCCCTATTTGACACTAGAAAACATTTCCTTCCATATTTGACACTAAAACTTAGAACTTCCCTATCTAACGCTCCTTTCATCTTTGTTCCCTAATTGACACTACCGCCAGTGATGATAACGGCGTTGAGTCTAAAGGCGAAAAGATCATCTTGTTCCTCCTGTGTGAGATTCACACAGAAGATAAGCAACTAAAATACCGAAAAAAAACATCTAAACGAGACAAAAAAATATACAGCAGTAGGAAGACGGTATGCCTGAAAAAACCATGGTCTTTTTGTCTTGTTCCTAGAGCCTGATTGGTTAATAGCCAAATTTTGATTTCCAAATCTTAGGCAAGCCAAAATTTTGGTAGCCATTTAGTTTGTTATCAATTGTCAACACCTCACAATTAGCATGCCAAATCTATGGCAAAAAAGTTTGTCCTAATTTTGACAACTTTTTCTTATCAAATCTTTGGCATGACAATTTTTGGTAAGCAACCAAATAGACCCTTAACACCTTTACATCCTAAAAGTGGCTGAAATGTCACTTGGAACCAAGAGATAAAATGGGTGATAGAGATTTTAAACTTCAATATTAAATAGGGAATTTTCTCTTGACATGAAGTTTCACTACTGTGCCATATAAAGACTGACATCACGTAACTTTTATAATTAAGTAATTGCAATCATATTTTAAATTTTATATTATAATTATACTGGTCGAGTTTTTTTTTCATTTTTTAGGCGGATGGGATAGAAGCTCGCCATGTGCCCGGGACGTTCCTTTCATCGAAACTGATTTTGTATATTGTCCTTGAGTTTGTAATTCGGGTAGCAGGTGCTCTAGCAAAGTAGTACGGTTCATATTTAGGCCCCATTCGGCTTACCTTATAATCCGCATTATTTAGCTTGTTTTTTTAACCGGAACAGTCTTTTTCTCTCACATCAATTCAGTCAGAACAATGTTTTCAGCCAATTCAGCAAGGCGAACGGGGCCTTCATTGGGACTTAGGAATAATATAACCTGGATGGATCGTAACTTGTACTAAGCAATTGAGCGGCTTTGTGCGGCTACGCGCTAATGATTTAATGGAAGTGCTCTTCTTATGGCACCACCAATGCAGGTATATACCATCATCAACCTTAGATGATGACATAGTTCATACCAAAGTTGTAGATAATAATACCATATAATTTTGTAGTTGAGAACTTTTTATTTAAGATCGTTTAAAGATCCAAATATTCATTCTAAGTAAACAGACTTAAAATTCTTGTTTCTGAAATTTTCAAACGTACTCAGATGGAGACATGTTGTATACCCAAATTGCAGAGCTTCATAAGGTCTAAAATTTTGTAGTTGACTTTTAGCAGCTCAAATTTTGTAGTTGATCATTTTCTATCTTGAGTGTTTTTTCTTCTTAGGCACACATGGCCATTAGTTCATTAATTGAGTACTCAACATTCGTTGCATTGTAACGGATGGTGAAAGGACCATGTTCGAGTGGCTATGAAGTCGAAGTGCCTCGAACAGAGTAAGAGTCAACTAACGACTTGTATATGCCATCTCATCCTGTATGTCTCTCGATCATGTAAGGTGTTTTTATTTACTTTTGCTCCTTGGAGATGGCCTAATACTCATATGAATTTTCAAATACCATTTGTTTTAGACTTGCCCTTAGTGCACGCAAAAACTAGTCGTTTTAGACTTTTGGCTAGCTTTTGGAACTTCGTTATTCCTGGTATAATTGGATTTGTCCTATCTTAACCAACATTTGCAAGAGAAGATCCATCCCATTTACAATAGCAACCGTGAGAAGTTGTAAATGGAAAACCACGTGAGCATACAACCTGCGTACGACCCTTTTCATCCACCAACGGGCAGCAGCGCACTCGTGCTAGTGTCACTCGTAGTACGTCCAAACGTCGTACGCCTCACACTCGTGTTTCACAGGTTTTTCATGTACCCCGAGTGTTTTCAATAAAAATTCCCTATCACCCACCAACGGTCACCTCCGAGGTCCCCGCACTTCCATAAAACCGTCACTGCCCTGTGGTCCCCCATGCAATCTCTGGCCCACCCGTCAGTGAGCCGCTTCGGCGCATAAATCCGCGCGGAATCCCGTTATCATTTTCCAAATTCCAATCCATACGCAGCCACAAACAAACCCTAGGCTGCCGCCACCCGCCATGGCCAAGAAGAAATCCGCCTCCGCCGCCGCCAATGGCAACGTCAGCCACGCCGCCGCGGCGCCGCCGGCGAAGGCGGCCGCGGAGGTCGCGCCGGCGGCACCGGACGCGTGGGACCGGAAGGCGGAGCAGCTGAAGGCGCTCAACACCATGCTGCTCAAGGAGGCGACGGAGCGGCGCGGGCAAGTGGCGGCGCGCCTCGACGAGCTCTCCGCCGACGACGCCGCGCTGGCCGCCGCCGAGCGCGCCGTGGCGCGGGCCGCGCTCGCCGCGCCGAGGTCGCCGCGCTCCGGGCGCGCCTCGCCGCCGTCCAGGAGTCGCTCAGGGGCGCGGAGTCGCGGGCGGTGCTCGAGGCGGCCGCCGTTGAGATGGCGCGGTCGTTGGAGCTGATCCGTGAGAAGGAGGCGGAGGTGGCCGCCGTGTCGAAGAAAGTCTCGAGACTGGAGGCCGTGGTGGCGGAGCTGGAGGGCAGGAACTCCGAGCTGTTTGGCGAGAAGGGTGAGTTGGCGGAGAAGCTGGAGGAGGCCAAGGAGGCTGTTCGGATGGTGTCCGGCGAGAAGGCGGAGGTGGAGAGGAGCCTGCAGGAGTTGTTCAGGAAGGTGGCTGAGGCTTATCGGTTGGAGATGGAGGCTAAGGTGAAAGCAAAGGTGGAGGAACTGAAGGTTCTGAGTGCTAAGAAGGCAGTGGTGGATTCAAGGGTGCACATTTTGGAGGCGGAGCTGGTTGCTGCCCTGTCTAAAACAGGGGAATTGGAGGCTGAGGTGTTGGCTAAGCAGAGGGAGTCTGATTTGGTGAAAGGAGAAAACGATAAGCTTCAGTCAGAGGTGTTAGCAGCCAAGAACAAATACAACTCGTCTGTTGCAAACATTGAAAGTCTCAGGATTGAACTGAGTGCATTGGTGAAGGAGAAAGAGGCCGCTGCTAAGGCATTTGATGCTGAGAAGGCTAGACTTGTGAGTCAATTGGTGGATCTGAAGAAGAAGGTGGAGGAAATCCGGGCTGACAAGGAAACAGCTGAGGGAGCCATTCATGAGAAGGATGCTCATGCCAGTAAGCTGAGGGCTGAATTGGAGGACCTTCAGGCTTCCATGTCCCTGCTCCAAGTATCCTGTGATGACCTTGACACCAAGCGCTCACGCCTACATGATGAGAAGAATTCAGTCGTGAAGGCTCTCGATGCTGAGAAGGCTGAAGCAGCGAAGCTGAGGTTGAAAATCGAGGAGCTCGAGAACTGCAGTGGTGAGAAGGATGGTGACATCAGGAAGCTGAAGGCAGCATTGGATGAGAAGAAGGGGAAAATCGATACCCTGAGCAAGGAGATTGAGCTTCTGCAGCTCGCAGTGGCTGAGGCTCAGAAGAAGAAGGGTGGCATCTGGACATGGCTGTATGCTACAACCACAACAATGGTAGCTGCCATCTCTTTGATCTATGCCACCAGGTCCAACTGAAGGACTGCTCTCTTTCATTTCTCTTTCATTTTTGCTATGCCCTCTGTTCCTTATATCCACTTATCAACATGTAACTGGAAATGATTGTACTGTTACATGATGGATCAGCTGGTATTATGGAATGAATCGAAACCATTTCCTTCATGCTGATGCTTGCTGTGTTCTTGTTGCTGTCTATTGAATGTGTTTTGCCTGTAACATTCTGTCATGTTGCGCGACCTCGTGACTATTGGATGTGGACACAGTACACTGGTCAGAGGTGAATCAAATACTACTTGAGAAGTTATGACATATCTGGGATTGTACTGACATCTTGGTTTGCAGAATGCTTTCCCTAGGTGTCGAGATTGCAAAAGTAAGCTCTGTTTGTTTGGTGCGGTATACCAGGCAATAGAACCACTTTCAGATTCCAGAGGTTATCAGCTGGCATTACAGACCAACTGAAACTGTTTGCTGTGTTCTTGTTGCTGCCTATCTGGTATTCTGGTGTGGTTTTGTTGCTGCTGAGATGCACGGCTCAAGGCTGGCTTAGCGCATCGGTAGCATTTGAAAATCCTTAACCTCCAGTCGAGTTTTTCTTGTTGGCATGTCGGCTGTAGGTACGGACCAACATGATGCAGTACCGTGCTGGGCTGCTGGTGTAAATTGTTAGTAAATTTCCACAGTTATTATTATGACTACTACTATGTTTCACGATTGTTGCAGGTGCTGAAATAAGCCGCAGGTGTACGCTGTCGTTAAGCTGAGCATGCAGGTAATGGTTGCATGGCATTTCGATTGGGAAGATGATTCAAGCAAAAGATAAAACAAGATACCTGCCTCGAGATCAGAATTTCAGAAGTTCTATGAATCGTCTTGTGATGATTGATGCCGTGAGAACGAACAGGCGGTGGATTCTGCAGGAATATCCATTACAGATAGCGGACATGTTATAAGCAGACTTGGACTACATGAGAACGAACAGAAAGATTCAAGCAAAAGATAAAACAAGATACCTGTCTCGAGATCAGAATTTCTGAAGTTCTATGAATTGTCTTGTGATGATTGATGCCGTGAGAACGAACAGGCGGTGGATTCTGCAGGAATATCCATTACAGATAGCGGACATGTTATAAGCAGACTTGGACTACATGAGAACGAACAGAAACGTTATTATGTTTACAGCACTAACAAAAAGGGAAAACCCATCTGCCCACGTTATGGCAGTTTAAGCTCCAAAAGTAGAAATTATCCAATTATACAAGTCAAGAAGCTCCAAGTAATGCCTCTGCTTCCTGTGAATTCATCTTCCAAGCTGCATCAACATCAAACAATAGATTTCAGAACTTTTAGAACTCTTGGCCTTCATCTCTGATATCGTCCTATAATTCTGGAGTCTCTGATTTCCTCTTTAGCAGGAGGCCCTTCCACTGCACCAGGTTGCTAAAACCCATCATTCCATTCCCTCTTGTCTTGCCAACAGTACCTCCAACTTGCCAGCTACATTGACTCCGTGTCGCTGATGACATAAAATCCTGGAGTTTTTCACCATTGGAATGGTTTTCTTCCACAGAACCAGCATATTTCTCCATCCTTCTCTGGGAAAGCACATGCCATTTTTGGATTCCATAGCCCCAAAAGGACTTCTGAACTAACCACATTAGCCACACGTAAACCTTTTCATTACTAAGCCAACATTTTGCAATTGACTCGAAATTACTACCTAGACTAACAGTGACCACATAAGAAAAAGCAAACCAGATTTTCCGAGCTACCACAGAATCAAATAGCATTTGATGTTCAGACTCCCCTCTCACAATAAAATAAGCATGTTTCATCCTCTAGCCTCCCTTTACCCGAATTATCTCTAGCTACTCTGTCTTTTATATGAGAGTTCACATTGACATGATGTGCATTTTCTGCACTAAGCAGTTTAGTTTCTTATGAAAATTATTACTACAAATTCAGAACGATGGAGAGCTAAAAAATTCGACACACATATTAGCACTTGGTTCAGATACCCTAGAATTTACTGCTCAGGTTTCTGCATTGGTGAATTTGTATTTTTATTTTATTTTATTTTTATTATTGTTATTTTTTTGCAAATTTCTTGATCATGAGAATGAAGGGCCATATAAACACACTTGATTCAGATATTAACCTAAAATAGCACATGAGTCTGATTGCAAGCAGCTATAACAACTGATGGCCAAAACAAAGAAACTTTCGGATCCTCTCTATCCAGCACTGGCATTGCCATGGCACCAAGAAGCAAGTAATTCCAGTGCGCATTACAGAAACATTCAGGCTGACAGAACATCCAAGTGCACTATTCGTCATGCTAGGATGCTAGCTGATGAGTGATGATGACAAGGTTTTGTCAACCTCACGGATGTTAACACTTGTACAGAGATCGACCCTAACCAGCAAAGCTTTTTTTTCTCAGATTGTGGTGAGTAGCACTAATTCGCCAAACAAAGAGTTTACGGATCAGGAACCATAAAGAAGGGAAAAAGATCAGAGAAAGTAAAGGGTCGGCAAAGGAGCCGTTCATCCATTCCAAGCGGCAAGTGAGCACATCCATTGTGCTATATGCGTGCGTGCCTAACGTTCAAATAAATCTGCAAGAATTTCCTAAAAAAAACTGCAAGAAGATTGATAGATGTGAGGATTTCCAGTTTCCTTTTCTATATCTATATCTATATCTATATCTATATATATATCTATATACCTATACCTATTAATAAAGAGACAAAATTTCTTCGACAAATTTTTTTGTCCAACTAAGACATCGACTCGGTTACCGTTCACTTGTTTCTACAATAAAAATTCCCGCTAACCACCCGTTCAAGTGGGTTTCCGTGTCCGTTAACCACACGTTCAGCCAACCATGGAAACGCCATTCTGGCCACCCACAAAAACACTTTTCTTTTCTGTTTTTATCGTTGGTACGGTCCTTGTTCTTTTTCTTTCTACTGTTTTTTCTATATATAAACATAAAAAATAAATAATAAATGTAATATTACAGCTCTTTGAACTCTTAAATTTTCTATAAATAAAATAAAACAATAAATATAATATTACTGCTCTTTGAACTCTAGATTCTTTTCTATAAATAAATACTCCCATCACTAAATTATTGATATAGCTTTGATTAGAAATAAAATTAATTTATGGGCATGGCTAGCGCCCGGACCTCCTGCCCCAGGCCCGCGTCCGGACGCAGCTCCCGCGCCCCGTGCCCGCATCGCATCCCACGTGCTCCGTCCCATTCCCAACCAGCGCCAGAGTCCGGAACCGTGGCCCGCGCCCCGCATGGCAGAACCGCGCCCCTGCGCCCATCCCGTGTCCGCACGGCGAAACCGCGCCCCGCGCCTACTTGCACTGCTTCTGGATACATGCTGTGGAGGCGTCTACAGGCCTCAGGCGCCAGCACGTGAACCACGACGGCGCACCTGTAGCAGCAGGCGGACAGCGGCATGCAACACAAAATCTACTTTTGAAACTTTCAGATAAAACATTTGCAACGTACGTCTGAAAACAGATGAAACACTTGAAATATGCAAGTATAGAGTTTGCAACATGTGCAACACCAGATTAACTTTTAAAACATCTAGATGAAACATTTAAAACAAACGTCTGAAACACCTGAAACACTTGAAACATACGCTTGCAACATGCGTATATTACCATTACAACATATGCAATATCCAGATCGACTTTTGCATCATTCAGATTAAACACTTGTGGGGGGTATGACCCCGGATACCCACGACAGACCACATGGGCTGCGCCCCCAGGGGCGGACCAGCCCACAAGACGAAGCCTTGCGGGACACGATTCTACTCGGCGCCTCCCACAAGACATAGGGAAGATATCCTGAAGATACTACGAGATCTGTTAGGATACATATGATCCTATGATTTTTGTAATCTGTTATTACTTTCCGGTTATCTCTCGAGATCTAACCGACTTGTAACCCTGCCCCTCGAGACTATATAAGGCGAGGCAGGGACCCCTCCAAAATCACGGCATATCATACGATAGCTAATACAAATCAACAGACCACAGGAGTAGGGTATTACATCATACTGACGGCCTAAACACTCTGATAACTCGTGTGTCTCTGTTGCCTTCTTGTTCTTGATCACACGCTCCTCTGCCGATCAATCTACCTTCGTGGATACCCCTCGGAGGACTACCGACGATATTCATGTCGACAGTTGGGCGCGCGCCAGTAGGGGTGTGCATGCTGTTTTCTTGTCGAACAAGATGGCTTCTTCCGCAAGCTCTTCATCCCTTTCGTAGCCCGCCAGATCTTCACGGTCGGATCCATCTCGTGGGTCATCAACGCTGACAGAGTCGGAGAGCTCCTTGAGCCGATGCAGATCCGTTCGCCGACCACCCCCGCAACCCTGCAATTGCGAGATCCGATCTTGGATCCATTTCCGAGGTCGTCTTCATCAACGACTCGCCGCTCGCTTCCTCGCTACCATAGGAGGCACCTCAACAGTGATGATCTGATCAAATCCATCGATCGGGTCGGTCTGAAGCTCACCGATTGCCTCTCCATCGCCGAGTCGGCTTTGGACACCCTCGTTCAGCGTCGACCACCCTCTGATTTGGATCTATCGGAGGCTGCTCGGCAAGCTCCAGGGGTCACGGCCCTACCCTTTGGGTTCACCAACACCGCCGCTACCTACCAACACACCCTAAGGGGCAAATTCGCCGACCAGATTGGGGATATCCATCCTCTCGCCGACCAGCTCCCACCGACGATCAACATGCTGCACGCCGGCCGTTGTCCCGCAGCATCCCTCCAGACCATCCTGGAGGAGAATCCGGACTCCAAATCCCAGGGCTCCACAGAGACCCTCGCCGAAACCTTCACCGAGCAACCCCCTCTCCCGCCTTTCCGGGGTGGTGCGATCTTCAACGTCAGCATCGACAGCCCTCCTCGGAACGGCGAAACCGATGAGGAACGCGCCGCTCGTGAAAATAGGAACGTCAACCGCGCGCAG